TTTTACACTCGACGTTATAATTTTATCTGACGATGTCAGAAAATGGATGCAGCTATGTAGTACCCAAAAATGGATGGATGTACTGGCGCTAGTGTACAGGGGAGCAAGCGAGGTTCTATGATCCCACGGTAAAAGTCCGGGGATAGACTGCGCGCAATTCAAACATTTCGAGCAAGGGCGGCGTTCCATTTCACGCATGATGCGCGTGATGTATCATGTTATCCTTGTTCACCAAATGTTAAACAAGGATAAAAGAATAAATCACACGTGTCATACGTGAAACGGAACGCAGCCAATGGAAAGCAAGGTAAAGGAATATGTTATAAAGGGCATTCAGGCCCAGTCATCGAATGAGACGATTAGGTATGTTAGTTGGAAGCGAGATTGAAGGAGACACGCGGAAAAAGTCTCAAAGGAACAGGAAGCAAAAGCAAAAACTTTGCAAGGAATATTGAATGGTAATGTTCTAATAAATTTTATACAAATTTACAGATTTCCGCATACAATATATGCTATTTTTTTTTAATAGTGTCTTAGATCCCAGGTAGCACATATTTCGTTTCATAATCGACTCTTGAAAACGTTTCTGAGTGGTTAAAATGTCCACTCGAAAAATGTTTAAAGAAACGCTTTTTTTTGGTAAAAAAAAAATAAAACGTAGAGAAATATTATCGAAGTATCATTTCTTCTCCATCTGTAAAAAAAGTTTGCACATTCGTTCTTTTCAAGCTTTTTAAGCTTTTTCACAGATAGAGAAAAAATGATATTTTGATTATATTTATTTTTCTCTTTTTTACTAAAAAGATATGTTTCTTCAAACGTTTTTCGAGTGGACATTTTAATCACTGAAAAACGTTTTCAAGTCAAGGTGCTACTTGGAGTCATGATTTTAATAATGTGTTATTCACAAATATATATTTATATTCAAATTTATGTCAATAGTCGATAACATCGACACTCTGCATTTTTTTCGGGCCCTCCGGGCGAGCGCGGCAATTTACCCGAGGTTGACGGTCTTTAATTAAAAATATTCTCGTAGGTGACTTTACTCAATTATTGGTCTTTTCTTTTTAGTAAACACAATCGAAACTGACACAAGTAAGTCGGAGTGTACGATAGATCTGACTAAAATGAGTACATGCAAGGAGAGATGCATGGCACAGCTGACGTGTCCTATATGCACGGAATTATTTGTAGAAGCAACTATGTTGAGTTGTACGCACATCTTTTGTCACGACTGTATAGAATCGTGGAACAGAGGACAGAAGAACCGTGCCTGTCCAGTATGCAGCAAGCCAGTAACATCGATGATCAGATCGACAGGTCTAGATGATCTTATTGAGAATATGATCGCCGACTTTCGTGACTTTCCTCCCGAACTTAAGAACAAAAGAAAGGAACGTATGCAAGAAAGAGAAGGTAAACAGTTTTGATTATAAATAGACGCTTTATATATATATATGTGATGTAGCACTCTCTAGATTTAACTATATTTAATTTATCTGCACTTGTTTCAGCATCGGAAAAGAAGGCATAACGACTGTATTAAAACACAAGTCGCACGAAACGCAAAAAGACGAATGCTATAGTATTTCTTTTTTTTTTGTTAATTATGTAAAGAAGAATATTTACTTATTTTTCCTAATTTAAGCCGCTGCAATCTCTGTTATCTTCTCGAACGCTGCAAATTTCACGTTTACGCAAATTACATTTATGTTTATATATCGGCGTCTACAATTGACTATGTTTCACGTGCACGTATCGGCGCACATATCGCTCATGTAAAGCCGAGAGATTGAATAAATTTAACTTGTTACATTCTTATAATCAAACTAAATTTATTTTGTTAAATTATAAACCGTTATACTTTATTTTCCTTATTGCTTTAACTGCAGATCCGCTATAATCATGTGCTTTCATATGCGTGTATAATATGTGCATATTTTTTTGTGTGTATATATTTCTCGTAAATTCTATACCGCTCCGCGAATTCTCGTTTGCAGCCAATTGTAAGATTGTTTTAGCGATATATATTCTGCACCATAATATCACCATAATTCTATCGACGATGCTATAATCTTCTTTCATGCTGTAGGTATATGCTCTCTCAAAGAGAATTCTAGAATAGAAACTATAACTTTTAGAACGTTATTGCATCGTGGGGCTCGATGAAGCTCCGAAAAGTGACACGCGACGCTGGATTATCACTTATATATAGGTATATTTGCAATCCTATTTTATTCTTTAATGCTAGTCATACTATCTTCAAAAGAATTAAACGATAAAATGATTTAGAATATTGTTGCATGATCGACGAAAAAGAGGAGCCTCCAAATACCGACGGGATTAGACAGTAGGCGCGTGATTTTTCGAGAAATGCCCTTATATGGTATAGCAATTTCACGTGTCTCGTATTGCAAAACATGTTTTCTCGAGAAAACTTGAATAAAGTATTCTATAGAACTTTGGTGTGTTGCATAATGATTAACAAAAGACGTGAAATTGCTATTGTATAAAGGCACTTCTCGAGAAATCATCGCGCTTATAACGCTGTCTCCCGTCGGCATTTGGACGGCGACGGGAGACAGGTGCGGTGATTTAACAAACTTAATTAATAAACGCCTATTGTTAAGCAAATCATTTAGCGGAATGGTGCAATAATTTACCTATACGCAAAGCGCGGCAACTTATTTCTTACGATAAAATAATTTTTAATAGACATTTTTTCTTGCAATAGGCGTGTATCTATATATTGCGCAAGAAAAATGTCTATTAAAAATTATTTCACTTTGCTTATTACGTTTTATCGTAAGAAATAAAGTTGCCGCGCTTTGCGTATACGTAAACTATTGCACTATTCCGCTAAATAATTTGCTTAACAATAGGCGTTTATTAATTAAGTTTGTTAAATCACCGCGCTTGTCTCCCGTCGCCGTTCAAATGCCGACGAGAGAAGGCGTTATAAGCGTAATGATTTCTCGAGAAATGCCTTATAGACACATATTTATTTTATAATATAGACACATTGTAAGAAAAATGTCTATTAAAAATTATGTCACTTTGCTTATTACGTTTTATCGTAAGAAATAAGTTGCCGCGCTTTGCGTATACGCAAATTATTCGCGATTTAAACGATGTACGATCAAGATATTGCTAATGAATTAATTAATTTGGAGATTTTAATGTTACATTATAATTAAGTAATAGTTCGAATTTAATTGCGCATCCGTGGAAATGCACGAAAGATCATAAAAGATGTTTAAAAGAGCATATTGAGATGAGAGTACAAGTGCAAAACCGCTTTCGCAGCGTCAGAAACTTTGTTTAAACCGAACGAAGTGACAGGAGCGCATGGTTAGCAAGTAGATTATCGGAGGTATTCGGCACGTGATTGGCCGCAGGCGGGGCATCCGCGCCGTACGTGAGTGGGGATAGCCTTAGCGAGGGCGAGGTACGCGCGGGAGGGACGGGCACGAGCTCGCGCGGCTGGCGGCCATTTTTACCGCGGCCATTTTTATCGATGCGTGAACCGGAGGAACGGAACGCGGAATGTTGTACGCGTGGAACGGACCGCGCGTCGAATACCTCCGACAGCCTACTCGCTAACATGCGCTCCTGTCATTCCATTCGATTTAAACGGAGTTTCTGACGCTGAGAAACCCGATTTTCGTATGTATTACCTCTTGGCTCTCGCTGAAAGATACTTTCCTAATAATTTCGACTTGTTTTCTGGCAATTGAGATTCGCATATTTAACCTTTTACTGGATATAAAGTAAACCTCCTCGCCTAACATAGTTTTCGCGTATTGGCGCAAGTTTTCGAGTTTCTGACGAGACGCGCGCTGGCTAGAGGTTTCCGTGCCACTTACTAATTCCTCTTGTAGAATATACTTTCCTAATAACTTTTACTTGTTTTCTCTAATAATTATTGAGGCTCGATTTCGAATTTCTCGATCTCGCATTCTTTTTCATTAATTAAAATAAAATCTTCTATAATAATCTCGACGATCTCTTGATGCATCGTAAATGATACATATTTATCCTAGCGCGTTACGTTTAATTACATTTCAATATTGCAATTAAATTTTAATTATTTTATTTAATATAACTATATTGCGCGTATAGAACGCAACGGGGGGAGGGGAGGAGGGGGTAACAAAAATGATTTTTCGAACGAGAATCTCGAAAGATCTGGTTTTCCTTATAATCAAAATTCTAAAATTATATATAATCAATAAAATCATAACGTTATGTGTCCATTTTTGACGTTGTAAATTTATCAACAATATCAGAAAATGAACGTAGCCACGTAGTGCTCATTTTAAAAAATGGATGTCCTGGCGCTAGTGAACGTGGAGTTCTAGAGTTCCTCTAGTCAGAGTTGAGACATGAGGCGGAAAGACGCCATGTTTCAGTCTTACCGGAAACAGCCAATAATTCGCTGGCGCAACTTTCAAATCATGGAAATGAATTATAACTTATACTAAAATAATTTTCAAAATGTTTTCACACTCAGAATAAAAATGCGACATGAATGTAACATAATTTTTTATTATTACAAAATAAACGTATGAATCTATAACGTCTATAACCAATAGTAAATATATCAAATAATGTGCGCAGAAACGTTATCTGAAGTATTTAAGATCGGAAGAGCACACGT